CGAAACCTTACAGCTCGAGTTACAAAACCGTTTTCAGTGCCTAGAAGACTGCAATGAAGTGGACGATTTGAATGACAAGCTCGTGGAAACTGTCCATGCGGTCGGAGCTAAGTTCTGCAAGACCCGCCGCAGAAGAACACAAAAACTCTCCGATCACACTCTTAATCTCATGGCTGTTAGACGGGAGATGAAGCTACATTCTTCAACAGATTTAACAGCATACAGGCAACTGAACAGACAGATCTCCAAATGCATGCGGCGGGACTTACGCAAATTCAATACAGCTCGTATTGAAGAAGCGATCGAGCGGAACCGAGGCTCCAAAGTCTTTGCCAGAGATCTGTCTGCCAGAAAGCGCCAACTGTCAAAGCTGAAGACAGAATGTGGCAGCATCGTTTCCGGGGCACCTGAGATTTTGAGTGAGATTGAGAGGTTCTATGGGCAGCTGTACACGTCATCGTTGGAGCCGCACGCAAGTGTGAGAAACGATCCAAGAGCGAGTCTTATCCGACATTATTCCGATGATATCCCGGACGTCAGTCTGAGCGAGATTAGAATGGCTCTCCAGCACCTTAAAAACGGCAAGGCCCCAGGCGAGGATGGAATTACAGCGGAGCTTCTGAAAGCGGGTGGAAGACCGGTACTTGAAGTCCTTCAGAAGCTCTTTAATTCCGTCCTCCATGGTGGCATTACACCGGAGGCGTGGAGCAGAAGTGCGGTGGTCTTGTTCTTCAAGAAAGGCGACAACGCTCTCTTGAAGAACTACAGACCGATTTCCCTTCTGAGCCGCGTCTACCTGCTGTTTTCGAGAGTCATTACGAATCGTCTCGCGCGCAGACTTGACGACTTCCAGCCTCCCGAACAAGCCGGTTTCCGAAAAGGCTTTAGCACCATAGACCACATACATACCCTTCGGCAAATTGTGCAGAAGTCCGAGGAGTACAATTTGCATAGTGGCAAATTGTACTCCTCGGACGTCTGGCGTATGTGGACTATGAGAAAGCCTTTGATTCCGTCGAAATTTGGGCGGTGCTGCAGTCCCTTCAGCGATGCCAAGTTGACTGTCGGTATATCGAAGTGTTGAAGTGCTTGTACAGTAGGGCTACGATGGCTATCCGAGTACAGAACCAGAGTACGAAACCTATCCAATTGCAGAGAGGTGTAAGACAGGGTGACGTCATATCCCCGAAACTCTTTACCGCTGCATTGGAAGATGTTTTTCAAGCTTCTGGACTGGAAAGGATACGGTATCAACATCAATGGCGAGTATATCACTCACCTTCGATTTGCCGACGATATAGTCTTTATGGCAGAATCGCTGGAGGACCTAAGCACTATGCTCAATGACCTCAATAGTGTTTCCCAACGGATAGGTCTTAAGATGAACATGGACAAAACAAAGATCATGTTTAATGTCCATGTCACACCTATGCCGGTAGTTGTTGGGAACACTAAGCTCGAAGTTGTTGACGAGTATGTTTACCTGGGACAAATAGTCCGACTAGGTAAGTCCAACTTCGACCGAGAGGTCAATCGACGGATTCAACTCGGTTGGGCAGCGTTCGGGAAATTACGGCACATCTTCTCGTCAGGTATACCTCAAAACTTGTAAACGAGACTGTACACCCAGTGCGTGTTGCCAGTGATGACATACGGAACTGAGACGTGGTCCTTCACTGCTGGCCGGATGAGGAAGCTCAAGGTCGCTCAGCGAGCTATGGAGAGGGCTATGCTCGGAGTTTCTCTGCGTGATAAACTCAGAAATGAGGATATCCGCAGTAGAACTAGAGTGACCGACATAGCCCAACGGATTAGTAAGCTGAAGTGGCAATGGGCCGGCCATATAGCTCGAAGAACCGACAACCGATGGGGAAGAAAGGTTCTCGAGTGGCAGCCTCGTACCGGCAGGCGAAGTGTAGGGCGTCCCCCCACTAGATGGAGTGACGACCTGGTAAGATATGCAGGAAGTCGATGGATGCAGGTGGCTCAGGACCGTGCTTTGTGGCATTCTTTGGGGGAGGCCTATGTTCAGCAGTGGACTTGTGAAGGGCTGTAATGATGATGATGATGAACTAATCATTTAATATATTTTAAAGCAAAGTTTACACAAGGCACCTTTACTTACCAACCAAGATATATTAAAACAAAGTATTGACAGCATGACAGTTTGTCTTTCTGTTCCACTATTAATAGACTTACTTTTGAAATGATTACAGTAATAAATGCAGTGGTATTTTACTTTGCGTTTTTATCCATAAACAAACAGATTAAAACATCTTTCTTACTTTATAGCATGTAAAGGTAATATTATAACTGAACATATTATCTATTATTCATTTTGGCTTTAATCATATTTATTTAATTACTGTAATGGTGTTTGTGATGTATATTCACTAATCAATCCATACATGTAATAAATAGTCTCCACACCACATTTGTTTGTCGGTGCACTATTTTTTGCTGCATTTTCCATCAGTCAAAAAGTACCTATAAATGCTGAATGTACCTGCAACTTTGTTTTATGCTATTAATTATTTAGCTGTTCTATTCTATTCTATATACACTATTCTAACTGATACTACTAATAGAATATATATTTTAGTTTAGGCTGAGAAGGGCTAGAACCCAGAGCCGTAAAGCGAGATTAAAAATAAAGACCGTTTGGTTTCTTTTTAGGTTATTGTACAGAACAGGCCTGTTGGTCTAGTGGTTAGTGAGCCTGACTGCTATGCCGGAGGTCGTGGGTTCGATTCCCACCCAGGACAAATGTTTGTGTGATGAACACGATCATTTGTTCTGTGTCTGGGTGTAATTTATCTATAATATTTATGTATTTAGAAATATATAAGTATGTTTATCAGTTGTCTAGTACTCATAACACAAGCTCTGCTTAGCTTGGGACTAGATGGCGTTGAGTGATAGTTGTGGAATATTATTATTATTTTGGGGTATCTATATAGTTTACACATCTGGTTGGGCTGTATAAATATATAATTGTAAATGAAAATGATAAACATACATAAATATCAACAAAATAAAATAAATGCATATAAAATACATAAATAAATAAAAACCCAACCAGATGGAAGCCCTCGGCAGGGGAGACCAGACGGCCGAGGGTTAGGGGGAAAGGGAAAGAAACTGGCGGACGATGCGGGCGGTATCGAGGAGCACCGCCTTCTGCATTTGAGCTTGGAGCGGTCCGTCACGGAGTTCCAGTCGCCTCAGATGATCCGAGAGGCTGACTGGGATTAACCCGTTCGCAGAAACGACTACAGGTATAATTTCGGCCGGCAGTCCACCCCACATGTCGGTCACCTCGTGAGCCAGGTCCAGATATTTTGTTCGCTTATCTGTTTCGGCTTTCACGAGGTTCTCGTCATACGGAATGGTAATGTCGACCAAAAATATCCTTGACTGTGCCCGGTCCATCAGCACAATATCAGGCTTATTCGCAAGAATGGTCCTGTCTGTGATGATGGCGCGGTCCCAGTAGAGCCTGGCGCGGTCATTTTCAAGCACGGCTTCCGGCATGGACTTATAATAAGGCAGTTTCCGATCCACGAGACCGTATTTCAGAGCGAGCTCCTGGTGTAGAATCCTGGCTACTAGGTTGTGCCTATGCAAGTCCTCAGAGTTAGAAAGCGCCGAACAACCGGAGATGACATGCCTAAGTGATTCACCAGGATGGCGACAAGCTCGACAAATGTCGACGTTGCCATCCCTTAGGATGTATCTACTATTATTTTGGGGTATCTATAAAGTTTTCTCATCTGGTTGGGCAGTATAAATATATAATTGTAAATGAAAATGGTAAACATACATAAATATGAATAAAATAAAATAAATACATAAAAAATACATAAATATATAAAAACACAACCAGATGGAAGCCCTCGGCAGGGGAGACCAGACGGCCGAGGGTTAGGGGGAAAGGGAAAGAAACCGGCGGACGATGCGGGCGGTATCGAGGAACACCGCCTTCTGCATTTGAGCCTGGAGCGGTCCGTCACGGAGTCCCAGTCGCCTTAGATGACCCGAGAGGCTAACTGGGATTAACCCGTTCGCAGAAACGACCACAGGAATAATTTCGGTCGGCAGACCACCCCACATGCCGGTAACCTCGTGAGCCAGGTCCAGATATTTTGTCACCTTATCTGTTTCGGCTTTCACGAGGTTCTCGTCATAAGGAATGGTAATGTCGACCAAAAAGATCCCTGACTGTGCCCGGTCCATCAGCACAATATCAGGCTTATTCGCAAGAATAGTCCTGTCTGTGATGATGGCCCGGTCCCAGTAGAGCCTGGCGCGGTCATTTTCGAGCACGGCTTCCGGCAAGTACTTATAATACGGCAGTTTCCGATCCATGAAGCCGTATTTCAGAGCGAGCTCCTGGTGTAGAATCCTGGCTACTAGATTGTGTCTGTGCAAAAACACAGAGTTAGAAAGCGCCGAACAACCGGAGATGACATGCCTAAGTGACTCACCGGGATGACGACAAGCTCGACAGATGTCGACGGCACCATCCTTTAGGACTTATCTCCGATAATTGTTGGTCTTAATAATCTGATCCTGTATCGCACAGACAAAACCCTCGGTTTCCCCAAAGAGGTCACCGAAACGTAGCCAGTGGAGGGGGGCGACTGTGTCTACGAAAGGCTCATGTAGAGCCTTGTAGAACCTCCCGTGGAGCTCCTTCTCCTTCCATACGGCCTCCCGGTCGGAAATGCACTGTACTGCTGAGTCTTGCCATTGCTCGTTGGCTAAGGATAGAGGGGTCAGTCCTTTATCACAAGAAATAACGTCCCTATAGTATGGATCATCCGCTCTCGTCAGAAAGTAATTACGGAGGCTACACACTTCGCGATTATGCATGGTAAGCGCGCTTAAAAAGCCGCGCCCACCATGCTTCCGCGGTAAGTACAGCCTCATTACTGACGATCTCGGATGATGCATCCTGTGGGACGTCATAATAGTGCAGACTTTTCTGTCCAGAGCGTTCAGTTCGGTCTGAGTCCACCTGAGTATGCCAAATGTATACATGAGAGCAGGTATGATCCAACCATTATATGCGTGTGTCTTATTAACGCCCGACAAAAGACTGTTAAGCATTTTGTCAATCGTGCATAAAACACATCGCAAAGTGACTGTTTCATACCCGCCTCATCAACACCGATGTTCTGTGACATACCCAGGTATCGGTATGTTTCAGCCCCGGAAAGGGTCCTTATGTTGATGTACATAAATAAATCTATGCCCTCAGATTTAGCAACCCTTCCCCTTTCAACATGGAGGACCGCACACTTATCCGACCCCAGCCCCATTCCAATAGAATTGTTAAAATCACAAGTGATATTTAGCAATTCCACAAGATGAGAGCGACTGGAGGCGAATAACTTGAGATCATCCATATAGAAAAGGTGGGTCACTTTTGTACCTCCCCTTCGAAGCTGAAATCCCCTCCCGGAGCCCTCCAGTAAGGTACTGAGAGGGTTCAGAGAGAGGCAGAACCAGATTGGACTCAAACAATCGCCCTGGAAGATACCCCTTCTTATCCTTATGTGGTTCTCCGCAGACGTCATCCGCTCGCCTAGATGACAAAGGATCGTACTCCACTGCCCCATACACTGCCCGAGGAAGTCTCTAACTGTACAGTCAACCTTGTACAGCTCGAGGACCCTCTTCAGCCATGTATGAGGCACCGAGTCCAATGCCTTTTTGTAGTCTATCCAGGCGGCGGATAGGTTCCGACGGTTGCGTTTAACCACTTTGCCAATGACCGCGTCAATGAGGAGTGGTTCCTTGGTTCCACGACCACCGCCCCGACATCCATTTTGAGCGCGCGACATCACCTGATTTGAGTTCAGGTGACGAGTGATTCTCGCGCTCAAAATGGATGTTAGTGTCTTATATATCGTGGGTAGACACGTGATGGGGCGGTATTTGCTCGGGTCTATGGTATCCCGGTCTTTAGGAACCAAATGAGTGATCCCAGTAGTGAAGAGGCTCGGGAGCGACTTTTGGTCGAGAGCGTCTTGAAATTGTCGGGCGAGCACAGCGTGACACACCACGAACCCCTTCAGCCAGTAGTGATGCAGCCCGTCGAGCCCCGGACTTTTCCAGTTCGGGGCCCTTCGGACCGCCTCAGCTACAACGTCCGGCGTTATAATGATGGGGTCCATGGGCGTAAGATTCGCACACTGACTCACCACAACTTCCGTCCAAGGGCCCTCGCTGTTGTTTACGGGCTCTGACCACAGGCCGCGCCAGAATGCGACAGTGTCGGCCTGATTCGGTGCTTGGCCCGTTCCACGTACCATTGGTCACTCCAATGACTTATATAGCCTCTTCTGATCACTCTGGAAGAGACGATTCTGGTTGAACCGTGTCGACCTCTCGGTATATCGCCGAATCCGCTTCCCCCAAGCAGCGATTCTCTGCTTCAGGTCGTCTATGCGCTCCGTCAGTTTTTGCGTTATATCCGGCTGGGACAAACTGATATTTGTCCCAGCAAACGCCGGTGCGCACAATTCGCGGCCTATTATTGCCCGACCTGAAGCTTATCAGCCTGCCGATGAGGGCCCTTGCCTTTACGATACGGTCCTCAATCCTTATTCTCCAGGCTGCGATGGCGCTACTTTGTCTAGTAGCGCGTCCAGCCGTGGGAAGTTTGGCGCCAACAATACGGCAAACTGCCAGTGCGGCGCCAAAAAGAATTGAGTCCGTCTCGCAAAGGTCCCGGCTGGCTTCCAAATAGGTCACCAGCATTGGGTTGAGAGCCCTCACGACAGCCCGATTCCGCTTGCTTAGGGGTATGCGCGGGAGTCACGGTCGATTTTCGAGAGGCGTACTGCTCGTTTCCACAATTGCCTCCTCCAATTTACTCCTCATCTGCTCTAGTTCTTGGGTGGCCATTCCATCATCGCCTGAATCAACCAGAGCAGGGAGATCCATGGCGCCCTCTACATGTGGCTGCTGGTCTGTGGCCTGAAGAGCCGCATCCCCAGCTATAGCCGGTTCATTCGATGAGACATCTGTGTATATAGTTTCAATTATTTTAGATCAGTGCTGTAATAATTTATCTAATAGCTATTACTTTTGACCTCGTATTAATAGTAAATTTGGCTATATATGTCTTGATAATTACCACCCCATAATCTGAAAAAGGACAATATGCATAAAGTGCTTACCGCCCAGAGATGAAGGTGGAAAAAATAACAAGTTGCACGTTTTCTACAGCCGTAACATTTTCCATATTGATATGGTACAGATATAGATGACTTTTGAACTACCTAAATATAGTTTCGGCTTGGCTTTCCATTGATGTCAGTGACGACCTTTTTCGGAAAGAATCGACATCCCTATTGACGTCGACAATGACATTACAAAATGGCGCCAGTTTATTAGCAAATTAGACATAAACATTGCAAGAATAATTGATTTTCAATTATTCTTTTCTCAAAAATTACCCGTTTCCGTATATTGAGACTTTGTGTGTGTGCTTATAATAGTGTAATCTTTCTGTAAAAATACGTATCAACACCAAACTCCACTGACGTCAATGGAAAGTCGTACCGTAGTTTCATTATATTCTTTTTCAAAGGACCTTCCCAAAATTCGTCGCCAGCTCTCAGACTATAAATAATGGTTTAAACACATCTAGTTAGTAATTATTGCATGCTTGGAACATTCTTTAGTCATATAATGAATAAAGTTTTAACTAGTAAGTTTTGCCCTAATAGCACATTAATAATGCTTGTGGAGAGAAGAGGCAATGTAAAGAAAACTCAATTATTAAAATATATTGATTATCTAAATACTTCAAATGTACATAAAATTATCTTGTATACATTGCCTTACATACAGGGATGGCCACAGGAATATAAAATAAGATAGCAAATGTGCTATCTTATTGTTTATATACAACATGTAACAATAACTCTGTGGTTCCCGTTAAGTGATCAGAATCAGTATTCAAACTCATAGATTTTTTTAAGAATTCTCGACTATTAAAAATATTTTATTAAAAAAATAAATTTTAAAATTTTAAGTGGTATTATTACCTCGTGGATCACCAAGGACAACGAGCCGATGCTAAAGCAAAATAAAGCGGGATCTTTGACAATCCTCTTACTTCCCGGACAATACAGAGGTAATAAAACCACATACAATATGAATATTTTTCTTTTATAAAATAAAAAAAAAATATTGGTCTAGTTTTAAAAAAAAGTTACTTTAATACGTTTGAATTCTGATCCTGATAACGTATTTAACGGGAACCATAAGGTTTTTGTTACATACTGTATATATTAACTCAACCAAGGACTTGATTACACACACATCTACTTCTATTGAGAAACATAACGTCTTAAGGCTTTAACTAGCCTGAATGACCTTGACGAAACGGCGATCGCAGAGATTTTAGCCGATGTCAACACCGTCTAGCAACTACGTTCTGTATTACTTATAAAAGTGCAAAGATTAATAGACTGCAGAGATGACAATTATGTAAGTGACATACTGCCTGTTATGCTTGCGCATCACTGAGAATTATTTCGCGGTTACGCATCTTCAATTACATTGCACGGTGTGGTGCTGTAGCTTTGTCCGGTAGGCATCACGACCTATCAATTGTTCAAGTTTCAAGTACGTAAGAATTTTTATTATATATGTTAAATCGTATTTATTTGTGTCGTATTAAAAATATGTCGTCAAAGCGTTCGCTGTAAATTTTCCCGGGTTTGATCCCCGACAGCATGAATGAAATTTGTAATTTCAATTTTCGTCAACACGCATTGGGGAAGTACGGCGGGCATTTCCCTCTCAGAAATAAAAAAGAGTCCTTTGCCCAGTAGAGGGACTTGTATAGCCTATTACTTTACTTTGTAGCAATATTTATATTCGTTTCAGATATAGAAAGGTACCTTATGCTGACAAAAATATCATGTGGAGGCGACGAAAACGTAAAACATCTTTGTACCTAGATAAAACGTTCGAAAGATTGTCAGTCATGTCATACGCCACATTTTCTATAGAGCGTAGAACATTGCAGATAGGGCAAAATAAAAAATAATCCAATATATTTTGGGAACTATTTATTAATAATATATACATTTATAGGTTTTTATAATAAAAATAATGAACAAGCTGCAAGGTTCAACTAATAACGTTTTTTGTAAACACAATCGTAAAATTCCTGTTTTAATTTTTACCAATAGTTAATTGATGAAACGTAGTCAAGATCACTTCATATAAAATGTATTTAATTAAAATTGACACGTGACCTATTTGGCCTTCTACTTACAACTCGGCGGAAATTTGAAAAGATTTTGTCTTTTCACACAAGTATTGTTTACAACTGGCGTGGTTTCGAAAAGCGTGATTAAGTGTCAGCGGTATATAATCAATTAAATACTGAACTTTTTTGGAAATTTATTTTTTTGTTTATTTTTATTATATGTTCTTAAAAACTGACGCCATCTCACTATTTTATTATTTGTTTTTTTTTGTAACGCATAAGGATAAGTTAGATTAACTTGAATAAGTTTATAATTTTTTAAATTTTATCACAAAATTTCCGCAATAAATTATTACCTTTTCTACAGTAATTCTCTCCTCTTAGTTTCGGCGTGACTGTAGGATGTTTTAGTGAGTCGCCGTCAGTTAGTAAGCGGCCATAAATCATTATATGTATGTATAGACATACATACATTTTTTGATTTTAATATTTATGTTTTTTTATTTATTTTTTATTGTTTTTTTGAAACCTGGTAAAATATTTTTTTTCCATACCAATTGATGGGCCTGGGTATAATGCCAGTTATACTCTTTGGCTGAAGTTATTTTTTATTTTATGCTCAATTGCAGACAAAACAATATTGAATGCGCATTTCTAAAACAAAATTTTACCTCTTCTCCTTGTAATAATAGCTCCTGCACCTAACACGGCGGAATAGTTATTATTATCTATAAGACCATTTGCGGAAACAGTTTTTGTTAACAGTTATGAGTGTAACATTTTATCAGCTGCTTTGTTTATAGTGCCTTGAGCAACACTTTGCCGGTTTCTGTACAGAAAATGATGCTGACTTTGCAAATATGGATGGCCGCTACCATTGAATATAATACCCGCTATTACACTTATTTACATAGAAACTTTAATTATCATTTGCATAAAATTCTAAATAGCACTTTTTACACAAGAAAGTAAACTTTTAGATCAGTCCATTTTGTTTTTCACTAATTAAGTAAAATGTAAAACAAACCAATAGGGCCATGATTTAAAATTTCTTGCAACTTTTTATAGAAAAGCATGACCTTATCATAATATAAAAGTCAATCATTTAGCCATGTGATAAAACTTTTAAGTGTGCCAGTCAAACATTAATGATGATATTCGGGTCATTATACTGGAAATAGTCTTTTAAATATTTTGTAGTACAATTGACAATCTTCAGTATGATTGACCGTGTATATGACTTTTATATGTCTATGTTATTTTTGATGAAAATTATTATTGCAGATAAAAGCCCTTTCACATTTATTTTAGTCTCGAATTAAATTAATCAAAATGAAAATAATAACATTGGCTCTTTATAACTGATCTTTAAATGTAAAACACTGACTTGAAATTATATAATTATTGGCATTTTTTTAATTCATTGAACTTTTTTAAGATTTTGTTGAAACCCTACTGGTAATATATATATATTATATTTTTATTAGTTCTTGATGAAAATAATGTATGCGTGTTAATTCACATCCCATCAAGAATTTCTAATGTAATTCTTGGTGTAAAGCTAAGACGTGATAATAACTGTAAACAATAGAATAACAAAATAATGAAAACATTTACATTTACATACAAAACATTTACAAAAATACTTGCTTTATGACCTAATAAATATTATTTGAGCGTAATAAAAAATAAAACAAGGTAGTCTTCGGCATGAAAGTAAAAATAAATATTTTCGATTATTTTTGCAATATCTAACAGCCGAATCAGCGGCCGATTCTGATCCATCTAAAGATGCTAAATTTCAGCGAGCACTGTCAAATTCAATAGGAGTAACAGAAAAACGGTTCTTGATATAGAAAGGTAAATAAATTATTTAACCTATAAAGTAAAATAACTTTATTACAAATCAAAATAGCCCAATAGCTTTATTAACATGAGACATAA